CATGTCAAAAGAAGAAAATAAAACTGATGTGAAAGGTACATAATGCCCCTAGATCAAAATATGCAAAAAAAATGCGAAATGAATTCACAAGAGGCTCAAAACACAAACGATAAGGTTTTGCCCGGAAACAACCATGCACGCAAACGTAACTTACCTATTTAGATGCGCTACAATTGTCCATGGCTTAAAAATATAGCCGATACAAAATCCGACCCCCCAACGGGTAAAAAGGCAAAAATGGACTTGGAATGGAAAACATGGAATCCAAAAATGTAAAATGGAGTCAAAGGACCATTTGGCCCTTGGTCACACTTCATACAAGATTAATAAGACCCTATAAAAGAACGAAAATGGAATTCCCACACCCGATGCAACCATGGTGAAGCAATGACTTGCGATTTTTCAAGGTTTTCATAATATTTCATGAAGTTAAAAAGTTGTATAGAATACAATACACATGTCATTGGCATCCGGCCTCATCTCATACATGTCAAATACATTGAAAGGAGTGCATTTATGTACACATTACATACATGGAATCAAATATACATATAATTGTTGAACATGAAGTTGACAATGACATTATCAATCTTTAATACATTGAGAAAAAAATAAAACAATAGAGAACTGAACATAGAAAATATTAAGACATCTAGAGATTAAGAGCACGAGAGATGTCTACAGATGAAGAGAAGTATCAACTTCTGAAATTTCAAATTTTTGTGAAGTGCTGAGTGCTGCTACATCAGTGGACCATAAGTTTATTATTAATGGCGGGGTCTTGGTGGATCTAAAATCAGCATGCTTGCACTATGACATATAAGTCTATAAAATGACATTTCATGCTAACATTTGCATGAAATGGAAACTTGAAAGCTACACGACATCCAAGGAATGCTAGGCTTCACGAACCAAGTCTTCGTACCTGAAATATGCCCCAGTATCGTAGGGATGAGTAACATAAAGCTACTCGTAGGAGATGAGCATGCATCGACCTAGCATTTTACAAATTTATCACCTTAAGGTGAAACATGTTAAAGGGGCTCATGCCACCTAACGTCTATGTCCAAGTGAGACTCGGGGAGCATCCTAAGCTACCTTAGAGTCTAAGCAACAAGAATCATGATATATATACGTGTATGAAACGAATCATGGTTGGGATAATCCAAAGAACACGACAAGAAGAATGCTTGAGCATAGATTAACATGAATTGCATTTTCAATACAATTGAACTAGGTCTAGAGTAATCCATACAACATGACAAAAGCATATTTGAATACAAGTTAACAAGAATCACATTATCCATGCAATTCAACAACAAAAGAGCATGTTATACAATGCAACAAGATTTAAGTTCTCAAAGCCATCAACTTAGAATCTAAAGCACAAAATAACAGTAGTGGTTCATGCCACCTAACGTCTAAGTTCTAAATGAATCAATAGGATCAATCCTAAGCTATGTTAGAACATCAAAACACAATTTTCAATATCGATGTAATTTAACCAATATTGGGACTCCCAATACAACGCATAAAGCACAATTTTGCAAAGTTAACATCATGTAACTTAAAATGGAACGACAAATAAGGAACAAGTTACAACATCATCTAGTTATCAACTTGAAAATGAAATGCGAAGTCAAACAAAGTGGATACTCGGACGTCACGCCGGATCAGACCGACAACATAGTTACTTTAGGGTTACTAGCCCATGGTAACCTCCCTATGTGCACACTAGACCATATAGAGGGACTATCCCCCGTACTAGAACCACGTCCTAGCCATAGTCAAACAACGACATCCCCAAATTTCCAAAATCAACAAGTTGTGCAACAACGCATATATCAACAGGAATATGCAAGATAATCAACTATCTACTAAGCACAACCAAATTTGGAAACCTATACAATACATGCTCTAAATCCACAACTAATATGATATGATGAATGTCGAATCTTCAGTGTGCGATTCATTGCACGCTATGCATGAAAGATGTTAAATACGAAGTGTGCAAATCATTACACAAGGCAACAATATATTCAATAAGGAAAACATATTATCACGAATACAAACATAGCAACTATGTTATCCAATGTTCAAAACATAACCAAATGAATATACAACAAGTCTAAGTCCATGATTTGAATATAGAAACCACTTCTAAAACACAACTAGATCATGGAGTAAATTGAAAGAATTTAAATAGATAAACACAATTAAATTCTCTAGATTCCGATTCAATTCCAAATAACCTCAATTTAATACATGTTAAAGGATATGGTATGGTCATCACCTATATCCATTCTAAAACTCAATTAGGTTGTTGGAACAACAAAGTAGAACTTTAATTAAATCATGCTAATTTAATTACCAAGGTTCTAAAACAACTTCTAATAGTCCCAAATTAATATATACTAGTAAACAAGTCATGGCCAATACAAATATCAAGTTAAAACCTTAATTAAGCTAATGGGACCACAAAATATATTTTAATTAATTCTTTTAATTAAAATCTCTAGATTTTTAAACTTAACCAAATGCTCTCAATTTAACATATCTTAGAGAATATGCCAAGGACTAATGTAATATCACATTACAAGTTTATTTCATTCAATTTAAGACCATGTGACTTAACCTTTCACTAAAGTTAAATATAAATTAAAAGTTGCAATTTTCATGCAATTAATCCCAATTTAATATATGTGAATAACTATACCTAAGCTTAATTTTCTAGCATGCCACAATACAATCCCAAGTTGTATATCACCACGAGGATTAAATCTTAAACATGGAATTTAATTAAATAAAAGGTTTCAAAACCTAACCGAATATTCTAAATCAATTATATGTGAAACTATATGGCATGTAAATCAAGAATATCAAGTCGGAATTCAAATAGAGTGAATAGTGCACTCGGGGCAAATTAATTAATCAAATTAATTAATAATTACTAATTTTCAAAACACCTCCAATCACTTTCAAATTCAACTATGTTAGAGAGCATGCTAAGGCCTAATTTAGTATGCTAACACATATTAATTTTAAGCTAGTTAAGGTCATGTGAATTAATCTTTCACTTAAGATAAATATTAAATAAAATCTTTAATACTTATTCAAATGATCCAATTTTAATACTCGACAATGAGCATATCAAGGGGCAATATAAAATCATGCTACATGTTTAAACCAAGTCATGAGCAACCGGGAAAATTAGATCCCGTACAAGAAAAATAAATAATAAAATCTCTAGATTTTATATTTAATCATGCAAACAAGTAGTATAAGCATCACAAGCATGCTATATAACAAGAATTTAAACCTAGAACATCTCCTACCTCAATTTGAGATGAAAATCTCAAATGCCATCAAAATGGAACGGCTCCGAATCCGACGAAACTACTAGGTTTTGTCGAGGACAACGCCGTGAACATAACCCACATGAAAGCCCCATCAATATCATAACTTGACCTCAAAACCAAACTCAAGAAATGGTCAAAACTGAATTCTAATAAGGGGGAAAGGTAGAGCACAGCGAGGGGAACAACAAACGTTAAGGCCGAAGACTTTCCATCAAGGAAAAGTGAACCAAAAGAGGAGAGAGAAGATGGCAGCACCCCTTGGGCTGCCATGGGAGCTCCAGGTCATGCATGAAGAGGGGAGAAGATGAAAAATGAAATATCTCACCCTCCTTTTATAGAAATCTCAAAAAGTGCCCCAAATGGGCCCCGCCGGGTCCGAAAAAGTAAAATTTGAGCAAACGTGCTCAAATGGCAAAAATTTGTGAACGAAAAAGATTCAAAATGATAAAATATGAACAACGGAAGAAACGGCGTCAAAAACTGAGTCTCGAGCAGAAAGTTATGCCCAAAACAAGTTTGGTAAAAACCGGGGCCAAAAACCCTGAAACTGGAAAACATCGACCAGAAGGAAATTCCAAGAATACACAACTCAATGAAATATGAAAATGAATCCTGTACGAGGATCCAGGCTCAAAACAAGACATTTTGCAATAACTTTCATTAATTGCACAATAGCCCCTCCAAAAAATGAAAACTACACTTATAGCCTAGAATGAAAATATCTTCCAAAAATATTTTCTTAAAAACCCTTGAAATAAAATATCTTCAAAAGATATTTACGAAAAACACCCCAAGAAAAGAAAATAATTCAAAGAACTTTGCATCCATACCCCTATGGACACCGGGAGTAATTAGAGTACTTTCTTGCGAAAGTAAAGATACGTATTTCATGGAAACCACTCAAGATGAAGGCACATGAAGTCAAAAACCAACTCCGAGCATAAGAAGTGATGTTGTGCCAAAAACTGACAAACGGAGATAAGACAGAATAGGGAAAAGGACGAAATAGCGCATAGTGTCGAAAAACGAAAAATGTGAAAATGACTCAGTCCTTAAAGGAAGTTGTCAATCCACGGAAAAGAGTCTCAGGAACCAATTCTGAGCACTCGAGATGACACTAAGCGACACGAAACAGAGCTCAGAAAAGAAAATTAAACGAAAAAAATTCATTCGTAAAATTTCAGGAAAAAGGAAAGGAAGGCAAATGACCGGGTCGTTACAAACTCAATCTGCTGAATGTCTCTGACTTTGAGACTTCCCATCCAAAACCTTGTAGAAAGATCGCTGGTAAATCAACAACCACTACAAGAAATATCATTTTTACCGGCAGTTTTTATGTGTGTGCCGTTGTTAATTAATTTTTACCGGCAGTTTATAATAAACTGTCATTATTGGTTATAATACCGTCGGTATGATAAAAACGGCCGGTATATATGTAGTATTTCCGGCGGTGTTTATAAAAGCGCCGGAATTAATTAAATAATTCCGGCGGATATAAAAAATATGCCAGAAATTATGTAATTTTTATTTAATTGTTATTATTTTATGTATTATTATTTTTTTCCTAAAAATCACGTTTAGGGGAGGCTATTACTATTCACACGATTTCTATTCCTCCCTTCTATTCTCTCACTGACTCGATCACGACTTCAAACCTTGGTGGTGCGGTTGGTGTGGCGCAGGGAAGATCACGGCGGTGGTGGCCGATTGGTGGCGCATCAGAGATCTGCATAGTGGTCGTTGTTCAGTTGGCATACGGTTAGTTCTAAAAACTTCTAACCCTAATCCCTCCCTTCTTAAGAGCTCCACTTATCTCTCTCTCTCTTAAGTAATTAGCTTATATTGTTGTTAATTTCTTAAGTAAAGATGAACAATTGCATATATGTTTTGGGTTTTTCTCCATTCTACTCTTTCTTGAACGAATCAGCTCCAACTACTGCATATATAATTTCTGGTATGTTGTTGCCGATTTTGGGGCTTCTGATTTTTGAAGGAAATAGGGTAATGTTGTTACCGATTTTTGGTATGTTGTTGCCGATTTTGGGGCTTCTGATTTTTGAAGGAAATAGGGTAATGTTGTTGCCGATTTTCGATATGTTGTTGCCGATTTTGGGGTCTTATGATTTTGAGGCTTTCATGTTGGTTCTGCTGCTTTGGCTTATTTCTTTTCTAAACAGATGGGTTTTTATTGTTCTTATATTGTAGTTTGTATTTTTGTGGCTTGTATTATGTTAATAGGGTCTCTTTCTTAAGAATTCATTGATTGGTGAGATACATGGGTTCTTCCAATTTGTCGTATTCTTTAAACTCCAGCAACTTTTGCTATGGATGTGAACCCTAACTTTTGGTTTTAGTGTTCACAAAACAGATTAACTAGTCAAGCCATAACTTTTTCTCATGAATTAAAGTAAACTTGTATGTATTAAAACTGAAAATGAAAAAGGAAAAGAAAACTGAAAAAGGAAAAGAAAACTGTAAAAGGAAAAGGAAAAGAAATCCAATGCATTAAACTTGTATTTATAGTTAAAACCAACACTCTCTCTCATATGTATTATTCTTCATGAGGATAATAAATAATTTTTATTACTTTGTTACTTTTGTAACTTTGTTGTAATATATTTATTATTTTTTAGAGATTCATGTATAATTTCTTTCATTAGGTTATAGAATCTATCATAATGGACAGAAATTGGATTACGGAGTCAAGGTACTTTAAATTTTAGTCTCGTCAATTTTCAAAAAAATAATAAATAAATAAAGCTTAATTCTCATTTTGGTTTAGATATTTACGATAAATTCATTTTTACTTTTGTCTTTCTTACTATACAAATAAGATAAGTACTACATACTCGAATGGAGTTGAACAATTTCTAGATACATCGTTTGAGCGAGTTGGGCAGAGTGGACGCATATATTGTCCTTGTAACAATTGTGGGAATTGTATCAAGAAAACACGACAAGAAGTTTTGGATGACTTGATGTGGAATGGGTTTATCCAAACATACACAACTTGGATTTATCATGGAGAACAATTACCTTCGTCTTCTAGGCATAATGATGGGCACACCTTATACGAGCACATCGACTCCAATGTAAATAATGATGACATGCACGAACTCTTATATGAGGGTTTTGGAATTCAAAATGAAATGGGTGAACAAGCTGATAGGGAAAATGAGTATCATCAGGGCCCTAATGAAGAGGCAGATAAGTTTTACAAGCTTCTAGATGATGGAAAAACAGATCTATATATTGGGTGTAAAAACTTTACGAAGTTGTCTTCTATAGTGAAACTATATTTGTTGAAAACTTTGCATCATTGGACTGATAAATCATTTAGTGAGTTGCTAATGTTTTTGAAAGATGTACTACCAGAAGGTGAGACACTGCCAAAATCTTTTTACGAGACAAAAAAGATAATTAGTAACTTAGGTCTCAAGTATGATAAGATTGATGCATGTCCCTTTGATTGTATGTTGTACTGGAAGGAGCACGCTAATGATGAAACATGTCATAAATGTGGCAAGTCTAGGTGGAAGGATTTTGACACTCATTCCGAGGGCAGTACAAGTACATCACCCCGATCAAAAAAGACAAAAATTCCAGCCAAAGTTATAAGGTATTTCCCTCTTAAGTCAAGACTTCAACGGTTGTTCATGTCAAATAAGACAGCTTCAGATATGCGATGGCATGAGGAAGAACGCATAAAAGATGGAAAATTAAGACATCCTGCTGACTCTCTAGCGTGGGATCATTTTGACAAAAAGTATCCAAAGTTTGCTAGGGATTCTAGAAATGTTAGACTTGGCCTAGCATCAGACGGTTTCAACCCATTTAGGACTATGAGTATTGCACATAGTACATGGCCTGTTGTTCTTGCTGTATACAACTTGCCAGGGTGGATGTGCATGAAACAACCTTTTTTCATACTGTCCACCTTAATCCCTGGTCCTAAGGGTCCTGGAAATGATATTGATGTATATTTGCAGCCCTTGATAGAAGAATTAAAGGAATTGTGGGTTGAAGGGGTGGATACCTATGATACGTCGAGAAAAGGGATGTTTCGCATGCATGCAGCGTTATTGTGGACTATAAGTGACTTTCCTGCTTTTGCAAACTTATCTGGTTGGAGTACAAAGGGGTATTTGGCTTGTCCAGTTTGTCTTAAAGACACTTGTTCTTGTAGGTTAAAGCATAGCAAAAAAATTTGTTATACAGGCCATGGGCGTTTTGTTGAGCAATGTCATAGATTCAGACGCAATAAAGCAGCTTTTGATGGAACAGAAGAGACTAGGTGTGCGCCACCTATGTTATCTGGAACAGAAGTGCTACATGAACTAGAGGGCATTAGTTTTCCAGCATTTGGGAAAGGGGATGATGGCAAGGGGAATGCTGCACAAGTGGATGAAATAGATGAAAATCCAATGTTCAATTGGAGGAAGAAGAGTATATTTTTTGAATTGCCTTATTGGGAGCACCTTCTTATTCGTCATAATCTTGATGTGATGCATATTGAGAAGAATATATGCGATAATGTACTTTATACTTTGATGAATGAACCAGGTCGAGGAAAGGATGGTTTAAAATCAAGACTCGACTTGCAGGAGATGCAAATAAGGCATTCACTTCACCCCCAGGAACGTGGTGCAAACAAATATTATTTGCCTTCAGCAAGTTACACATTTTCTCCACTTGAAAAGAAAATCTTTTGTCGGGCGTTGAAAAAAGTTAAAGTTCCAGATGGATATGCAGCTAACATATCACGTTATGTGAAATTGAAAGAGCGAAAAATTAGCGGTTTAAAGAGCCATGATTCCCATATCCTAATGCAACAACTATTACCAGTATCCATTCGCAAGCTATTGCCAAAGAATGTATGCTCTACACTTGTTGAGTTGAGTAACTTTTATAAGGAATTATGTTCAAAAACTCTCATACCGGCTGAGTTGGACAATTTGCAAAATAAGATTGCTTTAACACTTTGTAAATTGGAAATGATATTCCCACCATCTTTTTTTGATGTGATGGTCCACTTATCAATTCACTTAGCTCAGGAAGCAAAGATCACAGGACCAGTGCAATATCGTTGGATGTATCCATTTGAGAGGTTTAACTTTTTTGCACTATTTTCGTAGGCTTTTTTCCCCACTAAATATTGCAAATACTTCTCATTTTTTTGTTGTATCCTATCAGGTATCTTTTAACCTTAAAAAATTATGTGCGCAATAGAAGTCGCCCAGAGGGTTCAATTGCAGAAGGGTATTTAGCTGAGGAATGCTTAAATTTTTGTTCAAGATACCTAGCAAACGTGGAGACAAGGTTCAATAGGCCCTCAAGGAATGATGACAACCTTGATGATGGAGAAGAGATGTCTACTTTTGGCCCTAGAGGTCGTGCCTTAGGAAAACAGGAGATGATTGTTTTAGATGATGATTGTCAAACACAAGCTCATCGGTATGTGTTATTTAACTACGACGGAGCTACACAATTCATTGAGTAAGTGAAAAGTTTACAATATTTGACCTAGTTGTTATTATTATTATTATTCATTTGTTGTTAACAATATAACATATAGAGTATGATATTTTTTCATTACAGAAAGCATAAGAAATTTCTTAAAAGAAGGCAACGGAATTTAAAGCCACGACAAATACAATCAATGTCTCATCTATCATTTCATAAGTGGTTTAATGAATGTGTAAGTATCTACACATAGAACGGTTAATTAAATTTTATATTATATATGCTATTTACTTTATTGTAAAACTTATATCTTTGAAAATACAGCTGCGGAATACGGAGGATCCTATCCCTAATGAGATTCGATGGCTAGCTCCGGGTCCTAATGTCGTTTCCAAACGATTTAAGTCGTTCGTGATTAATGGGTTTAAGTTTAATGTTAGAGATCGTGATAATCAGAGGAAGACCCAAAATAGTGGTGTTGTTTTAAAAGCACACACATCAAGTTATGCAAGAGCCAGTGATCAAAATCCTATTGCAGGAAATGTTCATTACTTCGGATTATTGATTGATATCAATGAGTTGGACTACAATGAAGAAAGGAAGGTTGTATTGTTCAAGTGTGATTGGTTTGATGTACTCTCTAAGGGTAGAGGGATAAAGGAGGATGATTTTGGGTTTACACTCGTTAATTTTTCACGTGTAATGCGAACTGACGAACCATTCATTTTAGTATCTCAGGCTGAGCAAGTGTTTTATGTTCAAGACCCAGTTGATACAGATTGGCATGTTGTTATAGGGACAAAACCTCGTGATTTATATGATATTCCTGAAGATGATACTGAGACCTATGGATTTGAGCAACCATTTAGTTCTCTACACTCGGATGCAACTGATGATCACATTCATTGGGATAGAGGTGATGTGCCTGGAACAATGGTTGATAAATCTTCATCAGCAAACACGGAAAAAGAAGATATTCTGGATGAATAACATACTTAGAATGATGATAATTTTTTCTTAAATGTTGCATTTTCTTATTTTCATCTTTTTTTTGGCTTCGTGCTTATGGAATATTATGATTTTTTTTCCATCTCTCCCTCCCTTACTCATTTTCTTATAACTTGGTAAGTAAAAAGAGTATACATAATATTAGTTATTTATTTATTTTTTTTAACATATTTCAAATTGATATTGTCCTAAAACAAATAAAACTGTGGTACTATCATACTTAAGTAAATTTATACTTCCTTCTTGCATATTGTAATTGTTCTCAAGTGTGTTACTTTTCCAAATTTTGATGTTTTTGAAGACCTAATATATTCAGCCTAAATTTCATCTTAACTACCAGCTTGAATAAACATGGCAACAAAGGTTTGTTAGCTTTATGCAGGAACATAATGAAACGTAGGGCAACAACAAACTTGGAATTAGAATTGCATGGAGGACTTTCTCAGGGTTCAAATTCGCAGTCCCATACTTCCCATGGTTCACAAGAAGAGGACGTGGGGACTACTGAAAGCAATGAGTTAATAACACCGAAGAAGACTCGAGGACCCACACGCTGCGCAAATGTGGTACAACATGACACCAAAAAGAATGGCCTGATACCATTAAGGTGACTTTATTTAAATGATGGCATTGAATGACTATAAAGTTTTAGGAAATGCATGCAAAGGAAGCCATTTTATAGTGTGAATGACTTATTTATTATTATACCATTTGACTTATTTGGTCCAAATCGATGACTTATTTATTATTATACCATTTTACAGTGTGAATGAGCATGGACAGCCTAATGGAGCCGATGAAAAAAATTTCGCTAATTATTTGGGCACAATTGCCCGTAATGGTCTTGCAACTCCCTTGAACTATAAAAATTGGAGGAAAGTCCCTGAAATAGTTAAAGAGGACATGTGGACGACGGTCCGGGTAAAATTTTTTCGACTCTTCACATCTTTAACTGACTGATTTCACTTGTATACACATTTCATTTCTAGAGTTAAATTTTTTTTTTTTAATTACTCGATTCTTTATTTATTTATCTTTTATATGCAGGGCAAGTTTGCAGTAGAAGAAATCTCAAAAGATTGGACATTATCATCCCTTGGTCATAAATGGAGAGATTGGAAGAGTGAAATTAAAAGTAACTATTATAAAATTTGGCGTACAGATAAACAACGATATGCAAACCCACCACCAAGTGTTGAGGAGGACCAATGGGATTATCTCATTAGATATTGGCGTATAGAGGCAGCACAGGTAATTCATAATGTTATTTAGGTTATTTAATAATATTAGATTTATCATTCCATGTATATAGGTATATTCCCATCTAATGTGTATTTAAAATTGGATAATGCTTATTTACAATTGGATAATTAAAGAGGACATGTGAATTGGTGGTTCGAGGTTGCTGTTTGGTTGCTTGATTTGGTTGTTGGAGTTCGAATTCGAGTGTTGATTGCTATGGGTGGCTGAATTGGTGGTTCGGGGTTGCTGTTTGGTTGCTTGATTTGGTTGTTGAATGATTTCTAGCATTTTTTTCCAGTCAGTTTCTACTATTTTTTCCTAGTCAGTTTCTAGCATTTTATTCTAGTTTTTATCAGTCAGTTTCTAGCATTTTTTTCTAGTTTTTTTCAATCAAAGAATAGAGAAGTAGAGAGAGAAAAGTCAATATTAGACCCAAAATTCCTTCAATGCTTATACATAACCTGGTATCCTTGCCTTTTGTTTTGTAAGTAATATTTCTGTATTATTTTTTTGCCATATTATGTCCATAACATTTTGTCCTAATTTACTGTTTTAAAATTTACTTTCATATTTACTACTTAAGCCCATGTTAAATTTACATTGTTAAGATCATAATTCACTGAAAATGTGTATGATGTAATAATAGTATATAATTAATCAATACATAATTTTCATATACACATTCACTTAGGACAATTCAAACCATGAAATTAATCTAACATTTGTAATAAGTTGTCATTCAAATACCCTTTTAGAATTTGTAAATGTAATTGGTAACTTGAGGATTGGTCAAGTCAGAAAGATCCAAGTAATTTCATTGGCCTGGTTGATTATTGAATTTTGAAAATTTATGGATGCTTGAAATAGAAGATTTACCCCTTACCTTAGACGCTTAGAACAAAAAAAGCAGGATAAATTGGATAATCAAAGTGGAATTATAGCTGGCCACTTGTTATACCTGGTAAGCTAAGCTTTTACCTTCAAATGTAAGACAATTTTTGCTGAGAAAGTATACCAGCAGAAGCCAAATGATGGCATCTCTCATGATCATGTAATTGTTGAACATGAAGTTGACAATGACATTATCAATCTTTAATACATTGAGAAAAAAATAAAACAATAGAGAACTGAACATAGAAAATATTAAGACGTCTAGAGATTAAGAGCACGAGAGATGTCTACAGATGAAGAGAAGTATCAACTTCTGAAATTTCAAATTTTTGTGAAGTGCTGAGTGCTGCTACATCAGTGGACCATAAGTTTATTATTAATGGCGGGGTCTTGGTGGATCTAAAATCAGCATGCTTGCACTATGAGTTGGGTCCGAGGGAGAGGAGACCTTCAAGAGGCGATGTAGGTGGAAAGACCATTTCAGGTTGGGAGAACAGCTTGGGAGGCCATAACCCAGGAATGAAATCCCAAAAGGAACATGCAATAAGTGAAGCAACTGAGTAGTGCTTGAGACAACTTGAGCAATTTGCTAGTCTTAAAAGCATTCCCTTCTGGTCACACACGCACAAAAACACACATATTCCCTCTTTTCATAAAATCTCTCTCTCTCTCTCTCTCTATATATATATATATGTATATATATTGATATAGATTCCTTTTTAGGTAGGCTATTTGGTCCTTTCCAGTTGATCATTATTTAATTACTCCTTCCATATCCATTGCGATTTACAGTAATACCAGCCTAATCAAAAGCAGATACACACTCTCAAGGGTTGGTTTACTTCCTCATCTAATTATTTTTTACTTATTTAATGGTTCAGTAAAAATATCATAGAGAACAAAATATTTCTGATGTCAATGTTTCCTTTAATTCTAGCATACTTTAATTCACTATGCTACAATTCTTGGTGGTTCATAATCCAATAATTTAGCTCAACCCAACCAATCCAGATATATGTAGCTTCTCCATTTATAATTTGGTAGGTTTTGATATAACACATTTCTAATACAAAATCTCAAGACAAGGAAATATATATGTCGAGAATGTGTTGTTATAGATTACAAGCAAAAGCAACTAGCAAGAAGCTAATAAATGGAGTAGAAATGATATTACAGGACAACTTTAGTTGTAAAAACAAAGAGGAAGTCAATGTACAAAAGAATGTTGAATCATTTAGTTGTTAGACATCCTGCTGATTTTTTCATAGTTAGTGTTCACTTAACCTATAACATATATAACATTTGTTTAAAAATAAGGATTAATCTACTTAGCTCATATATAACATGTGTGTGTTTACAATTTAAAAGGCTAATATATACCTTCTTATTCCTTTGTTTTAGAAACAAAGCTAACAAAATGAAGTAAATCGCTCTAAGCAAACAATGCTACACACAACTGGGACAATGAGTTATGCGCGGAAGGCTGAAAAGGTTAAGTCTGTTTTTTTTTTTAAGTTAATCACTTGTATGTCACACAATTTATTATACATCAGTGCGATATAATTATAATAACATATATATATATATATATTAAAAATAAAAATAAAAAAACAGATGAAGTTGAAATCAGGGAAGGCGCCAACTCGTGCTCAACTATTTTGCGCAACACATAAGAGCAAGAAGGATGACAAAGCTAGTGATGAACATGCTGCCAAAATGATTGTAAGAATTTTTTTAGACCTTCAATTATTTATTTTCTAGTTTGATTAAGTGTAAAATATGAGTACTAAAATTTATTATATTTGATATTTTTTATCTTTTTGTGTTTCCTTATCCATTCTATGTATGCAGACACAACTAGAAGAGCTTGCTGCAACTCAGCCTTCTAACCCAGATGAACCTTCACCCCATGATTTTTATGCCCAAGTTAGGGGAGAAGAAAGAAGGGGCCGTGTTCGGATGTATGGCTTGGGACCTACGCCAACTAGTCTTTGGGGGCCATCTCCTAGTAAAGCGGAGCTGATAAGGAGGACCTCACAAGCAGAGGAAGAGGCACGTCGTGCTCGTGCAGAAATGAATGAGAAAGTGGACAAGATGCGTGCCGAGTATGATGAAAAATATGAAGCTTTGAATGCAAAGATGGCTATGATTTTACGTCATATCGAAAATCAAAATTCTAATGTACAGGTAAATAATTTTGTTATTGTACCCTTGTAAACATATAACTATATAAATTTTATAAGTCCTAATATATTTATAATTATATTGTATTATGAAGGTGCATAATAAAATTATATTTTATTGTGAAGGTACCCGGCTCCTCAACTACTACACTTGGTGATCCTTAAACTTTATTTTTGGTCATGGAATTTCATCCTTGGTGAGCATTTAGATTTTAATTATCATTTTCTTTTAACCATACATTTAATTGTCTTAATTATTATTCTTTGTTTCATGGCTTTTATTTTAAATGTATGTAGGGCAATTTGAAGGAAGACGAGAGATGAAATTGAACCATTAATTCTCAAGGCCCTCGCATAGTCTCACTCAAATTCTCAATGAAATTTTGATGTTTTATTTTGCATGATTTCCTTTTGAACCTTTTATTAGCACTTGACATTTTGAAACAAAACTTAGATGTTATGGGATGTTATTGAATTTTAATGCAACTTTCTTTGTTCTATGTTATATATCAAATTTAAGTTGTTGGATGTGTTGTGATTGATAAATTACATGTGATTTCATTAAACAGGGAACAAAATAAAATATTTGCTAATATGTAAATTAAACCAAGAAAAAAAAAAAATTTAAAAAAATTAACACATTACCGGCGGTTTAAAACGCCCCAAAAGAAAAAAATATTACAGTTCACTTACAATACACCGACAATTTAACACGCCCCTAAAACTAAAAAATTATACATTACCGGCACTTTAAATTGCTGGAGTATATCGTTAAAAAGGGCGATTTAAAACGCCCCTAAAAAAAAAAAATTATACATTACCGGCGCTTTAAGGTGCCGGAGATAAATTCTAACACCGGCATTTACAAACGCCCCTAAAAAGAACATACATTACCGGCGCTTCAAAGTGCCGGAATAGACAGTTACAATGACAGTTTACTTAAAATACACCGGCAGAGAAGAACGCCGTTAATTAATATTTCACCAGCGGTTTTATTGGACCGCCAATAATGAGTTCAAACCCGGCAGTTGCTTATAAACCGCCGGTGAAGCTTACCGGCGGTGACTATACCGGCGGTTATCTAAAACCGTCGGTATATGTATTACCGGCGCTTTTTGTACCTAAAACCGACAGTTTAGACCGCCGCTGAAAACCTTATTTGTTGTAGTGAACACTCTGCAAGTGCCTTGATCCCTTCAAAGTGTGATATAAAATTTTTCTTATTTGAATCTGTATTTGATGTAGAAGAAATAGATCTGCTTTCTCTAATCATTGCAGATGCAATCTTTAATAGACTTGAACATGATCAAGATTTAAAAACCATTTTGCATGTGTATGTAGTGTGTATGCTCTTAAAAATCTCACAAAAAGGCTTTTAAAAATTATCATAATTTTAATACAAAAAGTCACACAAACCTAGATGAGAAAATATGTTTATATAGACTTTCAAAACCCTAGTTGTACTTGGAAAATAAGTTAACTTCGTGCATAGACTTTTGGAAAGAAGTCTATACAAAATTGGACGTTAAAACAAAGTAAGAAACAAGTTACCTTAATATGCAGAAACACTTGAACCGGTACAAGTTGGCCAGTATTGATTTTGTTTTAAGAAAAAACGAAGCTATGCGTCTTGAACCGATTCAGCTGCCTTGAATCAGTTCAAGTTGGCCACACTTGAACTTTAAGATTTAAACACTTAGAAAATTTTCAGCAACGTGCATTTTTGAACTACATACAAAGTATGTAAGTTTTCTAACCTTCTAACTCAACTTCCTAAGGTGGTGGTCTTACCTTTTCGTAAACTTCAAGCTTTCGAACACAAATAACTCTTCAATTCCCCAACTGATCTCGAACTTGAATTTTAATCTTAGAAATACAACTCGACCGGACTTGTTTTGACACCGAAATTAGCCAATTCAAAACTGGTGTATCTTCGGCACGGAAGCAAGGTGTTTTGCTATGATTCTGAGACTAGAAGATTGGAACCAATTCGGTTTGATGGAACTGTCTTGAAATGCAATCGTGTAATTCCTTACTTTTAACCTCCTTGGCGCATTTCTTTGCCTTGCCCATAATTTACATCTATGTAACCTTCTACAATATGTTTTTTGGTCCAAATGCCATACAAATTTCAGATTCCAATTTTATGAGCTTTCTTTTCTAAGTGCGTTGTTCCAGTTGACCTTGATGGTAAAAATGTGTAGAATGTGACCCTTGGAGAAAGCTACTGCCAGCCAATGCTCGTAAGAAAAGTAGCCAGGGAAACAAACATGTAAGCAGAGTCTACCATTCTGCATTTTTTCAGATTGCTGCTAGCTGCAGTAGAGTGAAATTGCTATCAAAATCCTCTCATGTGGAACAGTGGTCCTGTTCCGTGAGAAGTAAACATCACAACATTTTTGTAGCGCACAAAACAGGACCACTATTTGACAGAAGAGGATTTTAGTCCATCATAAGCTACATTTTAATAAATTGCTCTAAAGTGATCCCAAAATCAAGAAAATATTGACTAATACACCCACAACGTGCCCAAACTTTCACCCTCCCCTTTAGGTGGGGCAGTTCTTAGAATCAGCATTACACTTGCAATCCCAAAGAAGTGATATTTGTTAATCAGCATTACTCTATTCTCCAAGCAAGACTGCAATGTCCTTAAAGCTAGACCTCCCATATCCTTAGGATCACATAATTTGTCCCAATTAATTTGTCAGCATTTGGACCCTTTTTCTTCGCCACTCCACCAAAAATTCAATACCTTACTTTCTCAGCACTTGACAGAGTGATGAAGGAATTCTAAAGCATCCTAATGCCATATGTTGGATGCTGCAAGGACTAATTTAAGCAGCAACTCCCTCCAAGCTTTGAAAAATCCACACCGCTTTAGCAGCAGCTTTGGCAGACAGCTTCTGTGCCAGAAATTTAAAGGAATCAAGCTTCTCAAATTTTGAAGGAGTGCTCTAGTAGTTGAGACTAGATGCATAGCATTTAAGATGTCTTAAGATTTTTGTTGCAAAGCTTGACAGAAGATATCAGTTATTTTCACAATATCTTTCATTAATAAATGCTAGAGAAATAAATATTCAAAGGATGTGATAGCATCTATGCAGCATTAAGTGGAATAGGAGGCATAAAATAAGTTCAACATTTTCCCCTTGAACTAAATCCAGGGGTTTCCATTTCATGAATTGGGAATTATGCAAAAGACCAATATGTTGTTTTACAGTGCCCGGAAAAAGGAAAGATATTCACTGCCTCCACACAAATTCTCTGCAGAAGATATGGAATATCTCATATAAGGACATAGTTACCGAGTATACAGACCTATGCCCTCTCTGCAGAACATATGGAATCCCACAAATACAGAATCACGGACATAGTTAAGCATACAGATCGATGCCCCAAAATTTGGCTGGTTGATTGGTCCGATACTTCCTGTCTATGCTTTTAACCAGGTCCATGTCCTCTTTGGTCAGCTCGAAGTCGAAAACCTGGAAATTCTCCTCCAACCTCTCCAGTTTTGATGACTTTGGAATAACAACTGTGTCCCGCTGGATACCCCAGCGGAGAACAACTTGTGCCACAGTCTTTTTGTATTTCTCAGCTAGACCCTGATGCCAAGGAAACAAAAGACAAAATCATATCCATAAACCAGCAAGCATGAAGAAATTTTTCATTGATTGCAAGGCCAATGATCTACTATATAATGTAATGAGGCAGGGTTACTTACTTTCAGAACTGGATCATCCAAACATGATACTGAACCAAACCATTCAGTGTTAGCCACAGCACCTCCTAGAGGTGTGTGGGCTGTGACACAGATTCCGTGCTTTTGACAGAATTTGACGAGAGAATCACGCTGGAAGTACGGGTGTGTTTCAATCTGATTCACAGCAGGCTTCACCTTTGAATATGCTAAGCAGTCTCTAGTTAGGAAAATGTCATAATTGCTGCAAATAACATTTTGTTATCAGATTAAGCTTATAAAATATATGAGAGTTGAGAATTGAACACTAATTTATAAACAAGACCTAAGAAGCATGGATACGGATACAACACGACACGGACGGGTAAATCCTAAAAAACTAGGAGACAAACGTGGCAGGGGCACTGCGAATAATAAATATTGTTAGATCAACAAGACTTGTGTTGGCAAATTTCATTGATCAAACTGAAGTGTGTACTTTTGTTTTAATTCTAGATTAGTTGGAAGTTTAAAAGTTAGTTTTTAACCTAGTAGTAAACTTATTTCTCATAGTCGATTTAGTTTGGCTGGCTAGGTCCTGTGGTTGGGTTTTCCACGTAGAAATTCATGTCCAATTTTTTACTACTTTATTTGATTACTGAATGGTTGATTGGAATGACGGATTGGATATATTTTAATATTTAGTAATAATTCAAATTTAAAATTCTAGTATTTTAGTTTAATTCGAAAAGTAGTTAAAAGTCATTAATCCAACCAACAAGAGCTATTCACCCCCTCTAGGTCTAAATCAGAGCCTAGGATTTCATTCCTTACAACTATCAAGTATATAATTTTATATAGGTTAATTTAGGAATTAAAAACCGCTCATTTAAAGAACTATAAGAAAGTAAATTCTTGCGACATATTAGGCATGTGCGTGCTTCCTAGACAAAGACAAGGCAATGAAACAGAATGTAAATTCTTAGCCAGCACTTGTGGATAATAAGTTCAGATAAAGACGTGGGGACAAAGAACAATTCATAGTCATCCTTTTCAAGCACAAGATGTAGCAAGTCCACCCAAAAATAGACCAATGATGATGTAACACGAATATGTCAAGATAGTCAAGCGTGTAATGATTGAATCACCATGTAACCATATTTCCTAATTAAAATGACCAAAGCAATGTGACGAAGTGGAAGTTAAATTGAGAGTTATGTTTAAGTAATTGGAATCACAAGTTGCAGAGAACTAGAATATTATTAATGTCTGTAAAAATCTGCTCTGCAATATATCTATGTATATTAGTATAGGATCTTAAAAACCCAATTTGGTACTATCTCTAAAAATCAAGAAAAAATATGGATCAAATCATAACTACTAAAACTCGGAACAATCCGAGTCTGCCTCCAACAAAAATTCCAAAAAATTTCGGCAGTCTTTTTATAGCACTGAAAAACGCAAAACCAGGACCCCAGAAGATGGAATTTGGCCAAAAAAATGGCATATATCACGAGCAGCCGAAGGCTAGCTGGTGAGTATTAATCATTGAACTCTATCAGGAATGGGTCTCCAAGAATCAAAATGAGCTCATTGAAACTCCATCGAAAAACGTGTCAGTCCTGCTATTTAGCCATTAAGCAGACCAAATGGTACACATACACTCCAACAACTTGTTCTTTATCACAATGTCTATATGGCGATGTAACATTCATGTGGTTGGGGTTAACTAGACTTTGTAATGTAAAGCTGTTGTTACAGTCCTTCAGAAGTTATGTTTTAAGTTTCTTTCTCTTGATGCCCATTGACTTATTTGAAGAGTCTGTTTCCAATGTCACCAATTGGATTTATGGGATATAGAACACTTATAACAGGAAAATATGACAATACAAATCATGAAGCCATCAAGGAGAAATATATACATAGTGATGCAGGGTATAACAAAAGGAGATGTGGAATAGAGCACCTAACCGAGTAAATTTCAATATTAATCCTTAAGCTATAATGGAGAAATATATAATTATATACACAGTGATGTGGGGTATTCCAAAAGGAGGATAAGCGTGTATAGGGCACCTGAGTGAATATTTTGCAAGGAAATCTGCTATAAAGGTCCAGCAAGTGGTGATCATGACCATTCCAATTTTACATTACATGCTCAGCCAGTACACTGAAGGCTGTAATCCCTCATTGTCACCTTTAGTCAGTATGCTTTATTTATCTTTCGATTTGTACATGCAAAATAACCTCAACAGATGTAGAACTACCCTACTGAATATGGCAAAGTTAGACAAGAAATCTTATAATGGTAGCAAACTAAGACAAAATGGTAAATGGCCATTACAGTTTGTCAAGGTTCACCTGATCCCTATGCTGCGAACTAAACCCTTGGAAACCAGCTCTTCCATAGCATGCCAAGTAGTCTCCAAAGTTACGGTAGTGTCTATGTCCAGCACACCATCCTCACCCATAGCACTTCCAGTTGCACCAACTCCTGCACGCATGCAGAACAAGTTACAAAATATTCTTAGAAACTAATCAATAACTGTGAGAATAGATATATGAAAAAAAAAAATACTGAGACTTGTTCTGCTTATCTCATCATTAAAGTGCACTAATCGAAGATGCTAAACGATCTCCCTAATTATGAGACATGAAGATGAATGTTTTCAATGTCATCAGTCAACTTTAATCATGCTAATTAATCCCATTTGACGTATCTCATAAGTAAATGTGCACTAAAATGCGAGGGCAGTATTGATGAGCTGGAGCCTATGGATCCACAAATAATTTGTTAACACTGTAAACCAATTAATGTACACTTTCTTAAGACCCTTAAAAATTCAACTTTTGGGATGTGCACCACTAGGGAGGGGGATACAGATTACTTTGATGTTTGTTGTTGTTTAAGTTCCACTAGCCACCCCAAAGTTTCATAGGGGAAAGAAAATAAGTTCTCAAATAATTCATTTTCAAATTTTGGACCCAAGTTCAATGGCACATAACATGATAAAAAGAGATACATATAAATCGTGAAGGGGCCAACTGGAAGCACCTGTGTGCCTTGTGGCTATAGGAAAGTGAACAAGGTATAGATCTAGATAATCCAACCGAAGCTTTTCCAGACTGTTTTTGCAGGCCTCAATAACATGTCCATGGTCTGAATTCCAAAGCTGCAATCACAATAGAATATGATACTAGTTGTCATCACCATGAAAAAGTGAGATCGTGCTAATAATGAACTCAAGTTAAAGGACAAAAGGAGGGGAAAAGAGAGAGAGAGAGAGAGAGAGAGAGAGAGAGAGAGATATTCTGCTGTGACTAGCCTTTGTAGTAATGAAAAGATCCTCCCTCTTAACAAGCGCTGTTTGAAATATTTCTGAAAGTGCCTCCCCAACTTCTGTTTCATTCTGGTAATCAGCTGCAAGTACTACCTTGTCAGGCATGACTTACCTCAAAAACAACTCAGAGAAAATTGTAAAATCACCATAAAAAAATTGAGTGTACAGTTTAAGAATTACCACACTACCGCATTTGTTGATCATCCGGACATTCATTTTTCAAAGTGTTACAGGGGGTACAATGTATTTTTATCAATTAATTAACTACTGCGTACTACCAGCTGTAATAAAAAGCAACTTACTGAAAACGGAATGTGAAGATGACTCATAGGGACCACTTTTCTAAGAAACGTTTGATGCTTCATCAGGCTATGCAGGTCAAAGTGGAACATTCAAAATGGAGGAATGAGAGGTTGCCCACTTGGCACCAAGTCATCATTATATTGTGATTTCAATGTGTTGACCATGTTGTCATGGGATTGCGAGTCTGAGAAGGTTAAAGCAAAGAAACGCCATTGCTATGTGATATAGAATAATTTCTCTTTTGGATATTCGACTATTATACAAACCGTGTTTATTTAAACCAATATATAGCTATTATGACCATCGTCAATATTAATAGCAGAGAAATTTATTTATTCTACCGATAATATGTTAGAATGACTTCAAGTACCACCTGAAAGAATTAGTGGCCTCTGCAATGTGATATAGAATAATTTCTCTTTTGGATATTCAACTATTATACAAACCGTGTTTATTTGAACCAATATATAGCTATTATGACCATCGTCAATATTAATAGCAGAGAAATTTATTTATTCTACCGATAATATGTTAGAATGACTTCAAGTACCACCTGAAAGAATTAGTAGCCTCTGTGTGATTGTTAAAAGAACTGATAACAATACAGTAATTTGGAATACAGATTGAAAGCATGATGCTCTTTAAACCTCTAAAATAACTTCTTATGATTAGTTATTCAAGAATTCCATTTTTTTTCTCATAAAACAATCAGTTCATAATAGATAAAATAGAACACAACCAACATAAATCTACAAAACACCCTAAAATATTATTCTTCCTTAAAATGATTTTGCAGTCACAATTTATACCACCCAACTCAAAATTCAAAAATCAAGCAACCGATGATAACAGCACACTAGACCTACACTCCACTCCACACCTAAATCAAAAGGCACAAGAAGATTTTCATACACATAATAATTATAACTATATAAATGGGTTAATTCCAAAAAACCCTGTCCTATAAAAGGTTTGGCAAGTTACCCCTTGAACATAATATGACAACCTACAATTATCCAAAAAATAAAAAATAAAAAATTTCAACATAAACCCTCCATATGGGGACAAATTTCCAATCAGGAGCAACTTCCAAAACTTGAACTAGGTAATTTTGGAAGTTAACCCTATATATGTGATTGTGAGTGAGTGAGAGAGAGAGAGAGAGTAGCATATATATACCAGCACAATCTAAATGACGATAACCGATCTTGATGGCGTTGATGAGAAGGTGTTTTATCTCTTTGCCTTCCATACGCCAAACGCCGAGACCGACTAGTGGCATCTTGAAGCCATTGTTCAGTGTTATTGCTGCCATTTCTTCACTCTCAAGAGTTTCCCCTTTCTCTACTCACTGGTCTTTCACACTGAAAGTGCCGGGGTCTGCCGGCCCGTGTCAATATATGTGTGTATAAACAAAAAATAAATAATTGGAGTATAAGTGTAAATCACATAAAAAACCCTGAATTATATACACTTTACAATAAGAAACCACTTGAACTACTATTTAAACAAATAACCCTAAAATATTCTTTTTTTTACAAAATCTCCCACAGTTAAACTTCCCTAAATGCAATAACTGTAATTCACTCTAAACGTGTATGCATTATTGTCGTCATGACTTTTATAAACATATCCATGACTAACGGGTTAATCCAATTTAACCCCCAATCCCTCCTTCACATTTGTTGGTCAAACAAACCCTAACTCTTAATTTTAAGACTTCAAGTCAGCAGAAGCTTGATAATTTTGATGATAACAACTTATTAATGTGGAAATTTAATATCATATTCGAGTATGGTGAATTTTAGGATACTTCAAGTGATTCAAGAGTAAAGGCATTGGACTTCAAAGGAACTCCCAAGGAGATTTGAATTCATAAAGCCTTGTGATCATGGAACTCAAAGATTAATGGTAAAGTTGTTATTGCTGCCATTTATTCACTCTCTAGAGTTTCCCCTTTCTCTTACTCATTACTCTTTCACACTAATAGTAATAGTGTCGGGCTTGCCGCCCACTATCTTTATATATGCGTATATAAACAAAAATATATAAGTAATGATACTCTAACGGTCTCTTTAGACCGAATTGTAACAACCCAAAACCGAGGGTCCGGATCGCTAATCAGGTCTCGACTCGACTCGTAAACACCCAAGGGTAAAATGGTATGTATGACATGTACAAGGCATTTAAAGTCCGAATGAAGTTTTAAAAGTCAATTCTAACCATTTTAAATCATTTTTGAATGAGAAAATCAACCCTGGTCACTATTTGGGTCATTTGGGGTTATAAAGGTAAATCGGTCTTTTTGGACTGTGCAATGTATTAGGGATCTTATAACTATTTTCTAGGCCAAGTATGATCACTTGGGATCATTTAGAATTAAAAGAAATCGACTTAGTTCAAGGCCGCCCATTTTTGGGCTAAATGGGGTAAAAATGTCATTTTCGACCACTCCGCTCATTTCCCGATGGGGCCATAGTGTTTTAAACCTCCTACACATCCTATGGGACCCATACGTTGAAGCCCTGGACCATCCGAAAAAGTAAACAAAAAGTACCCTAGGGGCTAATAACAAGCGCTCGTGAGGTGTCCACGAGCGCTCAAAAAACACCAGAGTGCCTGTGCGTGCATACGCTCAAGCTATGTCACGCGCGGGGCTGTGCAAAATAAGTGCTCGTGCTCCTGCCACAAGCTCTCGAGCCTCTCAAAAAATTGAGGCTTTGCCCCTTTTTGCCCCCGAACTTGCTCCTGGACACCCTATTGATCATTTTTTACCTTAATGCCCCTGTCCCAACTCACAACGTGCATAAAATGCTAAATATGATATCAATGCAACAATTTAGTGCCATGGAAATATAAAATCATTTCGAATTCAAACACTGTAATGATCTTGATTTTTCCCATTTTTCATTTTTTGGATTTTTTTAATTTTTCGGGGTTATTCCCGTTTTGTCTCATTTTGCGGGCTAGATATCGTGGAGTATGTCGGGTGTGTTCGAGTGTTGGTTGGAACATTTTTTTGAGTTCAGGACTCTTGAAAATGCATCTTTGCCATTTCGATATTTTTCAGTTTTTTGAGCCGAGAGGTCCCAGGCGCGACCCGTTATCGGAATGTTGAACACGGAAATTATTTTCCCGGTCTATTGCATTCATACATTTTTATTTGATGCATTTTAGGTGGCTATGTGCTTATACATGTGTTGGTGTGTTTAGTGTACGTACATATATATATATATATATATATATATATATATATATATATATATATATATATATAATGTTAAAAGTTATTATATTAGTCGTGGGCTCCACTGAAACTTTATTTATTTTAATGGCCTTAAGGTCATCTGCAGACCATTCTCACTCTCTCTCCTACATGATTCTCTTCCTCTCTGCTTTTCTTTTTTTTCTTTCTTTTTTTTTTTTTCACAATTTCAAGCCTTGATTTAGCCATTTCCATTATGAATTTGGCCTTACCACTTAAGGTAAAGTTGATGAGTGCGTCGATATCTTCGTTTTGATCGAAGCAAAGTGTCGTTTGGCTACCATTTGGGATTTCGAATTTTGGCTTCAAATTGGGGCTTTTCATCTTTATTGAGATAGGGGTATTCTAATACATATTTCTTTAATTTTTGTGAATTATCCTTTATGAATTTTATTAAGAGCATGCTCAATTTGTGTATTTTGTCCTTGGCAATTATGGTTAAACGTATAAAATGTGATTGATGTACTTTATGGATTAAATGTGTTGTTACAAGTGTATTTATTTGAAAATTGTTGGAAATGGGGGCATTAAAAATATAAACTTTGGATGAAATTTTGAATAAATTCCGTTAAGAATTTTTTGCGGATCTATAGACGAGTACGTTCCTCTCTGTAAGGAGATGAACGTGGTGTATTTATTTTCTCAAATCAGTTTCCGGGTGAATGAGAAATTATATCCAAAGTGAGGTGTTTGATAAGCCTAAATAGAAAAAGTGTTGAAACCAATTGAAGTTTAAATAAGTCAAGCTTGGGCTTGGGCTTGGGCTTAATTGTAAAGTCTGATTATTCTTTTTACTAAATGGAATTTTGAATTGGGCTGGGCTTATTTAAATGTGTGGTTGGTTTTTTAGGTGATTGGTTTTTTGAATTTACATTAAAAACCACTTTTTAGTTTTTCCCAAAAGGTTGCACCTTTTTCCGAACCATCATAACGCATGGTTGCACCTACCCGAAAAGGCACCTTGCTACCTATAAATACCCCCCTTTAAGGTCATTTGCTAACACACCAATTCAAAAACTCATTCTTCTCTTTCTGAATTATCTTCTTCCTTCTTTCTTCTTCTATAATGATCTTTTGGTTCGAGTCTTAGTTAGTGAGTTCGACTTCGACTTCGAGTTAAAGAGTACTACACCGAGCCGGTTCGCCGATTCCTTTGGTTTGTAGTGTTACTACCGAAGGAAGACAAATCGTTGCATCTTACAAGATAGACGTCACTGAATCTGTTAGCACCATAGTGGGGCGAATCTGTCTTAAGAACATAGAATCAAATTCTAGCCCCGGCTTTTAATCAGGTTCCTTTATTTATAGTTTTTTTTATTTTATTATATTAAACTATATATTATAAGTAATTATATATATAGATTATTATTTTATAATAATTATATATATATATATATATATAAACATTATATTTAAATAAATAGTACTATAGTATATGGTATACTTGGACCATATTTTGGACAACAAAAATTGTGAAGGAGCATGCTTAGTACTAAATTGTAGTGTGCCTTATATTTACAATTGCCATGAAAATTGAAGTTGTAATTTTGAAAGTTAATGCTTTGAATTTCTTTCAATTATGTGAGCATGATGTAGATAAAATGTATGAAATTTTATTGTTGAGTGGACATTTGGAAGCATTTAGCATTCATGCATTCATTGGGAAAGAAAAGTGAATTTTGGAAAGGGTTTGAAAAAGGAAGTTTTCTTTTGGAAAGGTTGTTCTTTGAAAGGGGATATATCTTTTTAAAAAATGAACCGGATTTTGCGAGTCCGGGGCTAGCTTGACCTAAAGGGAGCACGGTCCGGTGTAGGGCTTGAAAAACTTGATACTAGGCCCTTTAACGGTTATCGGCTTTGGAACCGGGGATAACTATCAATCTCGCCTCGGTAAAGTCAGTTAGCGGGTTTTTGAAAAATGAGTGTTGGGTCGGTATAAACCAAGTTTGGGATGGGATGCATCACACTTCATATCATGTGCATGGTTTTAAAGAATTGTGATATGTGACTGTGTGTATTGATTGTTATGTTATAAATGTTGTACGGACTCCCATTGCATGATCCCGTTTACTTGTACTCTATTCTTTGTGTGGATTCACGGGGTCATTAAGAGGTGTGTCTTAGACACCTCCTACTGAGCGGCTGGCTCACCCCATCATATTATTACATTTTTTTCAGGACACGGGTAGGAAGTGGCGGACGATACTCCTCCACAAGTTTTGATGGGTTAGTAGACTGTTTTAACATATTTTGTAGCTATGACCTCATTCTTATTATTAGTATTATTATTATTAATTTATTTTTTTAAGCCTTGGGATGGCACATATATTATGTATTGACATAGGAAAGGAAGGTAGTGGTCCTTAATTGACCTCGGGTTTGGGTAAGGACCAGGTTAGCGATTCGGACCTTTAGGTTCGGGTCATTACAAATTTGGTATCAGAGCGTTAGGTTCAGATACCTTTCGGACAACGGGTGGTGGCTTACCTAGATGGGGTAGAGAGTTGACTTGCATCGTTTATTTGCCTATGTGTTAAAGTGCTTAACTGTTTAAGAAGCATGCTTACTTATTACCAGTTTAAATTTTTGGTGTTTGAAAGGCATGCCTATTTGCTAAGTGCTTACGTGTTTAAATGACAGTGTATGTAAATGAAGTGTAGACATGATATGAAAGCATGTTAATTATGATAAGATGACAATTATGGGGTACAATTATTATATATATGTGTTCACGTGTGTACATACCGTTGAGTACGAGATGGTTGCTAGTACGGTATAGTACTTGTTGCGGCATGGATAGTTGTGTGAGTTTTGACCTGAGTAGGCGAGGAGCTCGATTGCTCCAGGGTTGTTTGGGTGCCAGTTCTTATCGAACGAATGGCTAGGATTTCTTGCTCTTGGATTGAGCTATTCGGTGCACGGTTATCTTGGTCCTTCCATTATTTTCATAGTGTAGTGCTTGGGGCATGACTTTGAACGATTGTTTATGGTACAGTGCAGTGTCTAGTGTGAGATGTATAAGTTTCATGTGTTAGTGCATGGGTTTTGTGACCAGAAAGGTCAGGTGTACGGAGTGTGGGTTTTATGGGAGAAAGGTATAACCTTAGGGGGTTAGTGTTTGTGACTTGGG